CAAGGAGGTAGCATGTTATGGATACTAAAGAGAAGCTGCACATATGTACTCATAGCAGTTGTGACAATAGCTGGACAAGATCAAACCAGACATAAGCCCAATCACAGTGTGGGGAGGCATTCATCAAAATCCAATCTCAGTGCTCAGATATATATATATAGAGAGAGAGAGAGAGAGAGAGAGAGAGAGAGAGCACATGAAATTGGGAGGGAATAATAAGGGAATTTGAGCAATGGAATAGGGAAATTAACTTGATTTAAGAACAAAACAACAACCAGGAAAAAAATTCATAATCTTAAGTGTTAAGACACTTGACCTAAGTGGCTTTTTGTTTATTTGTTTTAAATCACCTTTTTTTTTTTTAAATCTGGAAACTCAAGACTTAACTTCCAGGGCTGACACAGGAGGAACCGGGTACCATCAGATGAAGTTTCCCGCTGACTCCCAGCACAGCCTGCCTGCTGCAGGCCTTCCTGTTACCATGGCTCTGCCATGCAGCTTGCTCCTGGAGATGAAGGCAGGAGGTGTTCCCTTGGCCTTTAATTAGGAGACTGGCAAATAATTAATTATCAACCCCAAGGTTTCCTGGAAGTTATAGAAGATATGCTTTGTGTATGCTCCATTTCATTCTTCAGACTAATGACTTTACCTCCTCCATATCCTTTCTTTCCATAAAGTCGTCTATACATCTGGGAAATACTTCAATTAGTGAATTCAGGAGAGGAGATGAGATTGGAGTGTATAGTCAAAGCAGGAACGCCCCATGGTGTGATCATTGTTCTGTGCAGTCATGGGGTATTTTGTATTAATTATTAATATATGATATTTAACATTTTATTAAGTTATACATGTGTGAGTCTGAATTAAATGTCGAAAATAAAAAATAATTCCCGTGCAAGGCAGCCTAACAGAAATCTTATAGGAACAATATCCTCGAAAAACCATGCCAGGTATAGTGACTCATATCTATAAATCCAGCATTCCAGAGCTGAAGCAGAAGGATTTCCATGAAGTATGATAGTGATGGCAGCATTGACTAAGATAATTGTTTCTAATAAAAAAATTAGCAATGTCCTTTTCTAGTAGACTGAAATGTATGTGAAGATAGATTGCCAAATATTAAGCTTTAAATGAGTGTTTCTTATCCCCACCACCTGGAAGAATTACCCATGGGGAGTTTCAGTGTTGTAAATGCTCTTTTAACTGTTAGAGATTGAGCTGTGGTGGTCCAGGATGATCCTCAGTCAAGAGTGCACTGGGGGGGGGGGGGGGGGGGGGGCTACAAGAAGCATATTGCACTCGTCATTACTGAACAAACCCCAGGTCCTTTCGGGCAGGCATTTGCTTTATAGGCTGAGGAAGGCATGGAGAAAATATCGAGGGAAGTGCCAAGAAAAGCTTCCTTAAGCATCCGATTAATTTATGACAGGGACTTAAAAATTAGAGAGGCCACAGCAGGGCTGAGCCCTGATAGAACTTTGATTTGCGTGGAAACGATGTGGATGACTATTAATGCTTTCAGGGCAGACTTAGATAAGGAAGAATGAGAAAAGAAATCTGCTTGGCTACTAGCCAGAGATTGTTCATGGCTTGAAAATACCTTTTAGTCTAAGGGATTTAGCTCATAATCCCAACCAGGACAAAATAAAACCTGACACAGCTCACTCATTGCTAAGATACAAATCACCGCTAATGTACTAGGCCTCTGAACCACCTTGGCTTTTCTGGGGGTTTAGGATGGATTAGGCTGGAGATTCACATAATCTAGTGATTTCCCAATCATACCACAGATGTATTAAGTCAGAATGTCTGACAATAGAATCCAGGAACTGACTTCTTTTTTTTTTCCAGATTCCCCAGTGATTCCATCACAAAGACAACTTCAAAGAATATAAGAATGTGTGCAACACATCACTGTCCCTCAATTTTGATGACACAACCTGCAGCCATAGAGTATCTATCCTGATGAGTTGAAGTTACAAGTTACTTCACTCTGCCCTCCTCCTGAGTTTTCAGTCACGACAAGATACTTTTTTCATAACCAGGGTATATTTCCATTTATGTTTTTGCCTGATGGTCTGACCCAAATCTATCAACTCAGTTTTAACATCGAAGCTAATATTTTCTTACTAAGAAATTGCTAATAAATTTCACTGTATGGAGAGTTCCGCACCCAAAGTATAGGAAACAACTTGGGCTTTGAAAGAAACAGACAGGGCCCAGGTCTATTGAACTAGAAACTTCATCTCACAAGCTCCTTGGGGATATGCTTTTGGTGTCTGGTTTAAATGTGTTATTCTGAAGGCCCACTCCTCAAAGAATTCCTTGAAGGAAGTCACAAGGACGGAAAATCCACACTTTAGCATCTCTTTACAGTGTCAGCCTCCCACAGCATAGGTGCCAAAAGTCTTGATCACCTGTCTAATGTCTACTATGTGGGAAGCAGTGGTCTCAGTTTATTTTTCTTATGATGTGTGTCATTACTGAACGAACTCATTTTACATGTGAAGAAACTGAGACAGAAGAGACTAGTACTAAGTCTGTGATGCCAAACTGTAAATACAACCCATCCATAATGCAGTCTCCTGCATTAAATACTCACAGTCCTTAGATTTTTGAGCTGAAAGAAGTCATGGGGGAGGGGCCAAAGCACACACTGAGTGAGAACAGAGCAGGGGGTGTTCAAAAACTTGCAGAGCAGCTGTTGGGACACAGGATGAGTGATTGCCCTTTCAGCCTCATACAATTGCAAATATCTGGCACCTATCCCACAGCTACTGTGATTACTGTGCATAAAGACAGCAAGCTGTATTTCACTGCACTTCCAGGTGATTCAGAGACAACAGCATTTGAGGACAGTCTTAAAATGACCATTTCTTTGCAAAACTCCCATCTGCTTGAATCCTCTGATTAACCCAAGCTTATTTAACGTCATATTCCAGGCATGGGACTAAACACAAGAAATAAGCAGGAAGATGGAAGAAATTGAAAATGGAATCTTTACCCTTTCAGGTCTCTGACTGCAAAAACGTGAAAAGACTTATCTAGGTTTGAAAAGTGGGATGTAAAAAAAGACAACACAGAGGCTTAGAAACTATTATCATTGCAATGCCTATCATCAAACAACTAATTGAATCTCTGGAAATTGGAGTGAAATTTAAAGCTACTCCAAGAGCAGTTATAGTACAAGCTTGATTCTCGAATCCTCAGTGGAAGGTAAGAAAATAGTTCTTAAAAAGCAAAGCAAGTTTTCCTGTGTGTAGACTATACAGTCAGGCAGTGGCTGAAGTAATCCTTGCTCACCAGGTGCCCTGGGTCAACTAAATTAATCTGGCTTCCTAAGTGACAGAGAACTTAGATGACCCCACACCAAATTTAGGCTTCCAAAGTAGTATTCTTTTTAACCTCCATTTTCCCACTTTGTTACCATTGAACAAAGGTATTGTGCTAATCCCTGATGTGTCAGATGCTAAAAGAAATAGGGCATTCTCCCACCATTCACCTGCATTTTCCCAGTATTTATTCGATATTACTATTAAAACTTCAGGTCAGCTCCTTCAACACTATCTTTAACATGGATCAGAGTAGAGGCCGTTTTTCCATTCCACAGTTTTTCCTAGTAGTACCAAACCCCATTTATCTGATTCATCTATTTTGGATCTTCATTCCAAAAGCAAATGGTGGAGAGTTCCTGGAAGAGATTAGCATTTCTCTGCCCCCGAAAAACCAGATATATGACCCTCTTTTTTAATTTAATATACTTGTTCCTGATTCTCCCCTTAAGCAGAACTGGTATATGAACTTAGTGGTAATGTTCAGAAGGTGAATGGCACAGATATAAAACTGCATATGCAGGTGCCCTCTTTGTAGCATAAGACATTGGCGGTAGAAGCCAGCAATACATGAAGAGGTATCCAAGAGCTTACATGATTCCTTAACCCATCGGATCTGTGGCAATGCTGGCCCTACCTGATGAAGTGACACTGTAGATGAGTCAAAGAATGAGGAAACCCAGACAGACATGGCTGTGACTTTCTAGGGGGAATGTGCTCAGTGTCTGAAAAGTTGTCTATGTACAACTGGACCCTTCCTTTTTCCATCGAGTTGGTGCAGCAGTACAGTAAGTCACACCCTGCGTGTAAAGTACCACCACCACAGTCATGAATGTGAGGAGATAATCATCTTTGGGTACCATGGCTAGTGCTTTTTACTGCTCTTGTTTTCCTTTTCTTACTGCAGCAGGGGTAGAATATCAGAGGCCAGGACTAAGGGTGTGAAACTACTGTAAACAAAGAGCAAGCTGTTCACTCCGAACCTCAGCCTAAGATAGAACTTCACAACTATGAATTAGCTCATCTGGAAACTGAGCTAAGTGTGGGGAACTGAGTCTACTATGCTCAGCTGAGACTTGGCTTTTCAGTGTCCTGGGTAAGACCCAGGCACATAAAAAACCACCTGAAAAAAATTATAAAGAAATACAAATCTTGTATTTCCAATGGCTGTACTTGTTCAAGGCTTATTGACACAGTTGCTCTTGTTTTTCCATGCAGTTATGCTCATTACTGGTTTAAATACAGTGATTAAGCCCTATATTAAGCCTTAGTATGTAACTAAGTCCAGTGCACACAGCAGCTCTGGGGTGGTTATGATGCTTCAGAAGGAATCCCATAGGAATGATGTTCAAAGCAAGACATTGATAACAACAGTCAATAAGTTGTGACCACCTGAAGAGGTTGTCCAGATATAGGTCAGTAGGACACATGTATTCTTAGACTGTATACCAGTCAAATCATGACATATAATATCTGAATATATTTTCTTTTACAAGTCTAAAATACTGCATATGTGGGATTTTGTGTATATGTCTTTATTCACTTGATTGTCTACTTAACACACAGGCAGATAAAGATGTTCATATTCAGAATCTCCCACATATTCAGTAGTGAGAAATGGATCAAGTGGTTAGAAAAGAAAGCAGGCTGAGAGCATCCACTACTTACCTGGCTGACACAGATGTGGGCAGGGTGTCCACTCGCTGAAAGCAGTCACAAGGCAGTCTTTCTTGCATGGGAGGAAGCAAGGTCTTACAGTTTCTGGCCGTGTGGACTCTGGACATCTGTCAAGGAAAAGAGACTATGTCAATCTTTCAGATAGTAGATGTGAATTGACTTAGAACTGGAGGATTTCCAGAAAAAAAAAAAAGCCTTTTTCATTTATAGATGATGGAAAAAAGACTCAGGGAATGATGCCCCTTGCTGAGGAGGTCATGGCCAGAGGCAAACTCAAGCCAACTTCAGCTCACTTGATTCAGACACCAAAGTACTGTTTACTACAACAAGGAAAAAAAGATGCCATTCTTAAAATTATGAAAATGTCAACTGTCACATCCTCGGGGTCAGTTCAAATAATATTTGATATTTTTTCAGAATAAAAAATCAACAACAGTTTTTCAGGTAATATATCAAATTCCTGATATGCTACAGAAGATGAAGAATTGTAGAGCAAGGTATGGTTACACAAGAAGGAAAAGTCATTAAAGGTCAATTAAAATGTTGTATATCTCTGATTAAACACTTTGGAATACTTAAACAGTTGTTGTTTTCCATGGACCATATAGGCTAATGAGACAAGGAACACAAGATACTGCAAACTACAGATAAAAGTATGTTATCTATCATTAAGCACAGAAAAACAAGAACTGTTATTCCATTGATAATTAAGTTAATATGTACAACTGGGAATGGAATTATATAATCAGCCACTTGGAAGCAAGGAAGTTCTGGTAAACAAGAAAAAAGTTTTTCTTTCTTACTTGTCCTTTTGCTTCTGAACATTGAGAGTTGAAAGGCATGTTTGCCTTCTACAACAGAAATAAAATAAGAAGGGAGACAGAGAGGCACTTCATTATGCATATGTGGGGATTTCAATCCATAGGGTTCCCATAAAGTCCAGACATGTCATCTAGATTGAAGGAGTGGTCATAGTGTCAGAGCCATGTGTGGTCAAGTGCTTTGACTTCGTTTGTGCACTTATTTCTGACATTGCTTCAGAAGAATGTTCAACTGAAGATCTTTGATAATAAATAGTAAACTCCAAACTACAGGGGGATTGAGCACTTGAAAAACTATTGTGGTAGAGAAAATACCACATAGCAAGTCTAACAATGAACAGACTTTCAGTAAGAGAAAAGGAGAAACAAAAAAGTTAAGATTAGCAGGGAGTTAATAGGCCAGATCATGGGATGGTAATTCAGAAAATTCTCCAGGTGTGACAAAATAACCAACATACAAATACTATGATATTACAAATTTAAAGTCTCATGTTTGGTGCTAATCTTGCTAGAAATAGAGGAAGGGGGGGAAGAGGTGTCTCCAAAGAAGGAAGAATGTGAGTAGACTCACATTGGACGTCAACTGATAGATATATAAACAGGAAAATCATTTTTATAATTAAAAAAAAATTAGAAGCAGTGCAAAGAATGGAAGAGATGTCTGTTTAGGGATGGAGTGCTGTACAATGTTGGTTTGTCTACAAAAAGACACAGGTGCAGTGTGATACGGTTGGGCATCAAAATGGAAGAGGGGAAGCAGGGGTCTGAGGCCCTTATGCAATAAAGCAGGGGTTCAGAGAGTCCAAATAAACCAGGAAAAAAGGATGCTGCTATGTGTGATGGCTAGTCTCGACTGTCAACTTGAGAAGATCTACTATCTCCATGGACACAGATCTTTAGTCATGACCCTCAGAGAGTTTCTACAGTAGATTAATCTGAAGACCTACCCAAACCATGGGTAACTCCCTTTCATGGGCTGGGGACTCAGACTTAATGAAAAGGAGAAAGTGAGTTTGAGCAGAAGCTTTTAAACCCTCTGCTTTATGACCACGGTTATGACACGAGCAGTGGCCTCTAGCTCTGGCCCCATGCCTTTCCTGCCACAGTGGACATCTTTCCTTGGAGCTATCACTCCACATAATCCTTCTGTTCTTAATTTGTGTGAAGTATTTTGTCCTAGTGATGTGACAAATGACTAATGCACCTTGGATGGCAGGTTTGAGCCCCCTCAACTTACATGCCGAGACCCTGACCTTCACAGTGATAGTACTTAGAGATGTCTTTAGGATGTTTCTTTTGTTTAATGCTCTATGGCAATTTTTATTATAGCAGCTCAAACTGGATAAGACAAAGGTTTCAAAAATATTAATCAAAAGCCTAAATGCAAGTTACTGGCAGAGTGCCCCATCAGGAAGGGTGTCATGAAAGTCCTGGTGAGAGACTCTAAGGATCATTGCTTTAATGGACACTAATCGACAGGTGAGTTTTAAATTGCAAACAAAAACATCATATGAATGATGTACAAACAAAAAACATTTTATTTAAAATTAAGAAGGAAACGTCAGAAAGAGAAGAGGACTGAGAGTGGATACAAGTGTTTGTCTATTTGGACATGAAGGCGCAGCACAGGCAGACAAGCTGGTAAGATATAGTCAGTGGCACAGAAGGAGGAGAGAAAAGCTGGGCACACACCACTTGCCCCTCATATTTCTATTGATGAGCTAGGTGCATTCTTACCCAGCCAAGAGAAAGACACGAAACACCAGTTCTAAAGGAGGTAGTGTTTGTGGGGAATGGGGTGTAGAATAGGGAATGGTTGGGGATTGACTGCATTCCACCATCCATCCTAGCACATTGTTCAACACTGTGTGGTATATAATACTCTGACAAAAATAAATTACAGTGAAAAATGTACATGCACACAGAAAATAATAAGTGAGTAATGAATAATAAATGGATTCTTATTAGTGCATCATTATTAATCATTATTAATTCAAACAAACCATTATGAAATGGATTTGTTCAATGAGCAAAGCAGTAGGAGGAAGAGGCTCTTTATAAGGATGTAGTATCATTGAAATAACCCACTCCACTAGGGAAAATTTATGTCCTCCCTTAGTCAGACAGTAAAAAACACTGAAATCATTCCCAGGACTTTTATTCACACTCTGAGGTCTAATAAAAATAAAGTGAACTACCATTTATCCTCACCCCTCTGCTGCCTCTTGGGTCCCAGAGCTGGCACCAGAGTACTGTGTAAACATAGCAGAAGTGTCTCCAGTAATACCTGCTCTTCTGTGAAACAGGGAAGTAGGGCTCAGACACACTGAGGGAAGATTCCTTAAGGCAACCAAAGAATAGTATCCGTGGTGCTGGCCTTCAAGTTTTCCATACAGGGTGCCTATACTGCATCCACTCAAGCAGGGATCAGTGTTACTGTCTCCTGGGGAAATGGTAGCATCCATCCTTTTGACTCTGAATGTATCACTCAAAGTGCAGTTTACAGGGAGTAATTCTGGCCCTCTGCAAGGTGGACACACTCCCTATGCTCTGCCCTTGAGGAACAGGAGCAACACTGCCATCTCCACCCTTAGAAAGCTAGAGCTAGATACAGTGCTTTATGGAAACAAGAAGCCAAGAGCTGCCCTGAAAGGGCATGTGCTGTCTGATCCAAAAAGAGTCAACTGTTCTCTTACCTATGAAATTGTGTTTTGGTTGTTTTCTTCTTATGGAAAGTTTTACCTTTCCTCCAGGGCTGAACTTCCTCCTATTTATGAACATTTGTGTAGGACTTCACACTTGATCACATTCTTAATTTCCATAAATTTCCTATCAGAGTCTCAAAATATCATCATTGTCTACACACACTTCTGGTGTCTTCTGCCTGGGAAAACTCCAAGGTTGATTTTTTGCATTATATCAGTGACTGACCACATCAAGAGCAGATAATGTTTATGTTGTAACTTATAATGTGTGTTCTACACATCAAACTACAGTTGCACACTACTAGCTCTGATTGTCTTGGTGACAGAGTTCTGTCTTACCAATTTCAAATGCTAGGTAATAGCTCAATGTAAGTAGTAACTGTCAGTGAGTCATTTACTATTTTCTCTAGCCATTTCCGAGTTGAAAGCACAGCCTTAAAAAACAGGAAGACATGAATTCACTGTTCAGTTAGTAGAAAAAGCATGGCTTTTTGCCTGCCTTTGGGGATGACTTACACTTCCTACCTGTGTGTATACATGGTGCCCTGAATGGCAGTGCTTTTGCTATTAGGTACATGAAGTTCATTTTATACATCCAGTCCCTTAGATGTGTTGTGGGAAGTTCTGCACACGTTGTCTTTTTCTCTGATCGTGTAGGTTGTGGCTCTATACTGACATGAAGAACATCGGTTGGAGCTACGAAGCCCTGCCAGTTCTGATGATGTCTCTCTCATCACAGTGCATGCTCTGTGCATATCTTCCTAATCACTCATCCGACCCAGCAGCGGTTGTATTTATCTCACTCAGCTGAATGGGGCCTATCTGCCAATGTTTTATATACTAGATGTTTAAACATAGCTATTTTTTACTGTATCTCACACAAATGCCAGGTATTTTCACAATAAATGCAAAAAATGTTTATCGGGAACTTTGGTAGGCTTGGGCTATGTGCTTTTAATCTTTGTTGTTATTTTTTTAACATTACAACTGGAAAGCATTGAATAATGAAACAAAACCCCAGAAATACCCTTGTGAGCTCTGAATTCTGGTTTGGCAGTACACTGGCTGGTTCTCATTTTCTGATATGATCAGTTTTATTACTCATACAATGGTAACATTCTTACCTATACAATTGCATGCAAACCAAACTCAGACTCAGCAATGTGAGAGGAGAAACTTTTTAGAAAACCATCACTTTAGTGCATTCATTCTCTACCCCACAATTTTCCCAGTAAACATTATTCTTTCTTTCTGTGAATAACCCCCATCCCACCCCAAGGAGTTCATGAGTGACAGGGGGATCTTTCTGTGTTGACATGGGCTATCACACTAAAAAGAAAGTAAGTATGTGTATTTTTGGAAAGAGCACAGCAAAGCATACTTTTGATTGCTGGTAATCTCACAGGGCATTCCACTGGGGCATCATCTTCTGATTTCATTTAGTGTGATTGACCTCAAGAATTTTAATTAAGTAAATTTACTAAACTCAATGTAGGCTACTTGTGTTTAGCAGGGTGGTTTAGAGACATACAATAAGAATGAAAACCACTTTTTAGTTTTACAGCTTCATTAACACTGCATAAAGTAATTAGCATTAACAATCCTCCAACTCTCTGTATCTGTGTTATGTGAAATATCCATCAAAGTGACTTTTGGCCAAAAAAAAAAACTATAGAAAAAATGGAGATTATTCATTGAACTAATATTTTATAGTGTCATATACAAAATTTTCAAAAAATACATACTACTTTATAAATTAATCTTTAAGCTATAAACTTTTAGGACTATGAATGATTTTAACCACAAAACATCTGTATGCTAATGCTTCATCTCTGTTGCTGTGATGAAACAATCTGCCAAAAAACAACTTAGCAGAGCAAATGATTTATCAGGTTCTCACTTCCATGTCCATCACAGAGATGCCAAGGCAGAAATCCAAGGAGGAATTTGAAGAAGAAACCATGAAGGAACAATCTTTGATGGGCCACTCTTAGGCTGATGTTTAGCTAGCTTTCTTATACAGCCCAGAAAATGGTGCTGCCCACAGAAGGCTGGACCCCCTATAACAATTAAGAAACAGGACAAACCCCTATAGATATGCCCACAGGTCAGGCTGATCTGGGAAATCCCTGAATCAAGAATCCCTTCTCAAGTGACTTTATGTTGTGTCTAGTTGACAGAAATTCTAATTATGACAGTTAACATTTGAACCATGTGGTGTGTTCCGACATCTTTATAATAAGCTATTATTCAATGTAATGAAGAGATTGCAATGAAGGCTGTTTAACCTACAGCTCAACTTTTCTTGTCCGTGTAATACTTTGTTCAGTATGTGGTAATAACTTAAATGATAAATGTAAATCTAATTTTTATTGTCCTTTTGCCAAAAAATAGGAAAAAAAAACAGCAAGTGGACTTTTCCTGTAGTTCAGAGCTGAAAACTCATGGAAGAGTGATCAGACTTGGAGCCTATTATAATTCCTCTTCACAATAACAAGTAAAGTTTTATTGCATGCCTCCTTGGAGTTACCCTATTCTTAAACTGTTTCTTTTTTATGTTTATTCCAGTGTTTTGTGGGTGCCAGTAACAGAGCACATCTGTGCTGCCAGTACTCTTCTATGTAGTTTTGTTCCCTTAACTTTAGCTTCTGTGGTTTCCCTCATATGTAGTCAATGCATCTTCTGTAGCAGTGTGGAATGGCACAGCCCTTCACCCTAGTGACGAGAGTGAAGCTAGCTACTCAAGTGTCTGAGTTATCACAATAACCATACAGTGTACTCAGTCAGATGGGCAAATAAATTTGCCTATATTACCAGAAAGTGAGGAGGGCTGTGCAAAATACTGCCTACCTTTGCACTGCAAATGTTCCTGCATCTCTCTGAGCATTAGCTTCATTCTGTCTCCATTTTACCACCTGACTGCAGCACCTCTGAGTTCATGCACTTAGAAAATTGAGACATGAGTTTCTTTTTACTAGACTGAAAATTCCTATTTGCCTGGGGAACGCTGAATTGACAAGCTGATGTCAATATGCCAAAACATCTACCAGCACACTTTGGTGACTCAGCATTCCTGTGGTCAGCATTGGGTCTTTGAACACAGCAACAAGGGAATAAGGATACGTCAACTACTCCATCTCTAAACATAGCATAGTACCTCACATTCTCTCTTTGCCACCAGAATCTGAGCAAGAGATAAAGGCAGAGATGAAACTCTCCCACTTGAGTTCTCGAGTCAATTTCTTTTTTCTTATCATGCCTTGAAATGGTTTTTAGAATCCGTGTCCCAGTTCCCATGTCAATATATCCCTCTTACCTTTGCAAAATGTGTATCTTCCTTATAGAGCATACAGTAAACACACAACTATATTTTACTTAGGAGCATAGATTAGGCAGACAACATTTTTTATGATAGAAGAGACCTGGGAGTCTTAACAATAGTAAAACATTACCCTTCAAAATACAGACCCAGGCCCCAGGCTGACCTGATCTCTGTAAGAATTGAGAAGGCCAAAGACACAGAGGTCAGCCCTAGAAAATGTGTTTGACCACTCAAATTTGCTTCATGTTTGTGGAGATCATCTGGTTCTTCATTGACTAATAAATACATTATAAATGCACCTCTGGTGCATATTATTGTATACACTTAACTTTGAAGTATATGCATTAATCTTACATGGTTGAGTAATAAGAATAGGGTAAGGAGAGATGACTCAATGCTTAAGAGCATGTGCTGCTCTTCAAGAGAACCAGGGCTTGCTTCCCCGAACTCAAGTAGGATGGCCCACAACCACCATAATCCCTGCTCCAGAAGAGCTGATTCCTTCTTCCAGCCCATGCAGATGCCTGTACTTGTGCGCATGGACACATGTGTACACATGGATAAAATAAAATAAATAATAAAGATTTTTTAAAGAACAACAAAGATTCTTGTTACTCTAGCACGAACCTAGGTCTATCATTTGTTTGATAATAACCTTTTATTAAAAAATCCAATTATAAAATGATCATATGCACTTTCAGCAGAAGGCTGGAGGTACCTTTTGGTCATTACTTGTCCCACATGACTCTTGATACAGAAGACTCTCCGTGTCTGAATGCCCACCCCACATGTTGCTTCTCCATTCCAGCCAATGGTCACATTGAAGGCAGTCACAAGAGTATTTTCAGAGCAGGGACCCCAAGCGGATGTTTCCCAGTAGAGCTGTGTACAGGAATGATCATTGCATAGGCGGTACTCTTGGAGTTCCTGACTACTAGGGCAGGGCTTTCCACCTGTGAAAATTTTAAATGAAAAAGAAAACCTTAATGATGATGATGTCATTCTTGCTTTTGTTCTTTCTGTGACCAAGAGACCTAAACTACTAGATACTTCACCACAAGATCAGGAATCTATGGCCTGTGCCATAACTGAAGGATTGTGATACATTCTTGTCTCCCAGTTTTCAGGCAAGCAAGTCCATGTTCATCAGAATACAAAATTAATTTGGTATACTAACCACCTATGGAGCACATATCTCTGAAATGAACTCCAAAGAAATCCACTTTTCTGTGGATATTATTTTGTTTGCAGGAGCTAGCCAATGAGATAGAGCAGCCCATGACCTTGGAGTGACACTGTGCCAAATGCCTGGTATACATAGATGAATCAATGACATGGAATAGGCTATGACCTTAGAGTAATATTACGTCAAACACAACTGTACCTAATTCCCTTTCTTAAGAAAGATATTATATTTCTCTGAGTGCCATTTTTAAAATACTCACCCTCTATGAAGCATTTAACTTCAATTTGAGAAATCTATTAAAATGTATTAAAATCTGGCAAGAGAAAGATCATCTGCAATAGTCCAACAACCCACTACGCCCTGCCAGGGAGACCAGGCAGATGTTCACCTTTAAACCCTCGGCTGAATCAGATAACCAAACTTCATTACTATCTATTCTGTCACATTTTTATTCCAGCATAAAAAGCGGCATGTCTCTGAAGTATTGATCTTTACTTACTCATCCATAACACAATGTTTTATTCAGTGGGACGAATGGCTCAGACGCATAGCCTCCATTTTGTTATTTTTATTCTAATACGAATCTTTGCCCCTTCATTACAGAAATATCAAAGCCAGGATATATAAAAGCATTTGTACTTTAATGTAACAAAATTCTCTTTACTGTGACCCTGACCCTATTGCTCATGATTACAGTGTTGAAGTCCTGTTTAAGATGTTACTCACAGCTGGAGCCCACTGTCCCAGTGCTCTAATGGAGCCAAAGACTGAGAAGGCAGAGGGAGCACATGAAAGGAATGGCATGTGTATCTGGGGAAAGAGTCCATTGCTGGGAATGATGGGAACAACTGTTCCTTTAATTTTCTCTGAAGTTACTGTTCACATTCCCACAGCACCTTTTGCCTTCTTCAAAGCTATTTTCATGGCTTTCATGTTCCCTCCCTGGCCCCTGGCACTAGGTATTCTAGAAAAGGAAACCAGGACACAGATAAGTACCTTACAGATGTTATTGGCAGTTCTTGGTGAGAAAGCCAGTTCTCCTAATTCCTGTTTTGGAACTCTTTATGCCAAATAGATCCAGTTTTGTTCCCAGTTGTCTAAGACAACCAAGCCTGGATATGTGACCATCCTTTGCTGCCTTCTCTAAGCAGTGGAATAAAAAGAGCATCTAATTCATTAAACTGGGACATTTGAGAGTTTAGACTAAAGCAATTTTTGTGGAAAGTTGAGCCCAGCTTAGATAAAATAGAGGTCTCACAGAGAAGAAAGCATGTGTGGAAATGAAATGGTTAATACACATTTAAAGAAAAGAGGTATCTAAATTTGTTTACACGCATGAAAAGAATGTGGCTGACATTTATTCAATAACAAAACTTCCAGTCGAGGTACTGAATCTGTCACTCACCTTCTCCAGCCAAAGCCAGGAGAGACCTTGACCTGCTTTGTTTGCCGTCTGCGTTTTTATTTGAACAGGACTGGGAGCAAGATGACCACACCGTCCACTCACTCACCACACAGTCCATTCGGCAGGGAATATCGCAAGCCATCCGTTCAGGAGGAGGCGGCACTGGGCAGAGACTCCCTGATACTTCTTCTCCTGTAACCAAAGAGTTAGAGACAGTTGCTTAGTGATGAAAACAAGGCCACTCCAAGGAATTCATTGGTCCTTTGCTTTCCCTATTCTACTTTGTCTTTGAAACCTTCAGCAGGTGTCCAACCCATGAAGTATAAATATGGAGGTGTCTTCAGTTATCCATAATGTTTATGTCAAGGAAAACCTGCCAAGAAGTAATATGATATTTTTAAAAGGTAGATAATATGCCAAATTCTCATTTGTCATCCTTCATAGGGACAAAGTTGGCCTCTTGTGGAAAAAATTTAGCCATGGATGACTGGTGCTAAGTATGACTGACTTGTTAATGACAGATATGTGGAGCAAGCATTCACTCACCTTCAGAGTGCAGACCAGGGTGTTCTGAACATCACCATTGATGCCAACCATTGTAATCCACCACATAAGGGAGGATTTCATCAATCCAGCTTTCTTTTCAGTGCCTTTGCCCCTAAATTCCTAATATCTAGCAAGATTATCATATGGTTTTTCTTATTTGTGTCAATGAATAAATGATGGGGAATGTCCTTCTGTGTATATTTATCTTATTGGTTGTTGAATAAAGTACTGTTGGCCAATGAAGAAGCATTATAGGTGGGACTAGGAGTCCTGGAGGATTCTGGGAAATGTAGTAGAGATCCAAGCAGGATGTGACATAGCAGGCAGACTCAGAATATAAGCAGGAAATCTCTCTTGCTCTCTCTTCTTCCTCCTGCTCTCTGTTCTGAGCTACCATGTGATCCCAGGAAGAGGATGCCAGCAGAAGGCATCCTCCATAAGATAAGTCTTATGATTATGGTTGATAATTAAGACTGAGCTAGCAGATAAGAAATCCTAGTCATTGGCCAAGTAGCATTTGTATTTAATATGAAACTCTCTGTGTTACTTGGGACCTTAACGTGGTGGCAGGCAGAACTCAGGCGGCCAGGCAGAAAGCACCCCTGTGGCAGCAGGGCTCAGGTGGATGGAGTAAAGATTTATCATATCAAATAAATAATCTAATTATAGTGGAAAGGTCTGTGGCTGAAATTACAGACTATGTTAACAAAAGTTGAAAGCCAGGTACAGGCCCTTCCTAACACATTTGATAAAAATCCAATAAACTTTTAAATAAATAATTACTATACTTAAAACCAAAGTACAAAACATACCAAATATCAAAGATTACCATTTTTGCTGTTGACACAGGGTCTTAAATGTCCCTCTATAAATAACATTTACAATCCTTTGATATCATGTCCTAATATAATTTTTGTAAGTTTTAAAACAAAGTAGGACAGTGCTTAAAGGTGAGCTGATGGTCAGAAATAATGGGATCATTTCTAAGCTACTTTTCATATCTCAAAAGATAACAATGGTTGATAAAAAAAATACTTTTGGGTCGTCTATTTATCATTATGACAAATTCCTTAGATATAATAATTCTCCTCTTCTCTCCTCCATCCATTCAAATCTCCTCATAAACAGAGGACACAAAGAATAAATGCACCATTTATTATTTGAAATAACAACATAAAATGTGTGATGACGACTATAGGAGACAGTTTTGTCTGAGTGACTTTACAGTTTGGAATTTTCCTGTTGTGATAAAAGTCTGACACAGGGAAATAATGCCAAGGACATGAGTATTTATCAAATACCTCCTTGATGCAGGCTGTGTATTTTGCATATATCATGTATTTGTTTTAGTACCCTTAGGAGAAGCTCATGGGGGTCAGAATGCTCTCTTAGTTCACAGATAAGGAGTTGGGGAGGGCAGAGTGGAAAAGTGGCTCATGGTTACTACCCCTGGGACAATTGGGAATCACTGCTAAACCCTAATTCCCAAGCTTCCATTATCCCATTATCTATGCTATGTCTAATTCCCTGGAGATGGATATTCTTTTCTGAGGAAGTAAATAAAATAAGCCGACAGGAAGCCTGCCTCAAGGAGGAGACCATGTGTGGTGAATATCTGCATTCATATGTGTAAATGAGGCCAAGCTCATTGCCCTTGAGGTACAAATAAAATTTTTCAAGCATATTATGAGAAGTAATAGAGATTCCAGCAGATAATCAAGCTGAAAGCTTGGTTCCAATCATTCCCCTTTCAGTCTCAATCTATTTTCAGGTTGAGTCCACACAGTGCACCCACCCCCTCCACACTCACACATGAAGTCATCTAGGGCCACCTCATTCCCACACTTGGAAGCCAGCAGGTGGGGGAAAGAGGAGAACCCAACTTACATCTAATCAAAATGTAATCCCTGCTCTTGTGACTATGATTACCATAATTTTAACACAAAGCATTCTAAAGTAATGGTTTGCAAAGAACATTTCCAGGAATAGGAGTTACAGAAATCTTATGAAAAGTGGGAGAGGTGGACAGTGCATTGGGAAGTACTGGGTTAAACATGGGGGGCGGGGCTGTAGAACTGACTGCAGTCACATGATATTGACAATGTGAGTGAACATCAGAAATTTCCCAGGAAACAAATGGGATACAGTGCTCTACCACAATAGCACATTAATGGCCACACATCCTCCCTTTCAGAAATGTCTCCCTAAAATAAATAGCATCTTTTTTTTTACTATGCTTTAAGAAAGCCTTATATTAAAAATCATGAAATTGGCTATTATTCAAGGGGTGGAAACTGTGTGCAGTGACAGAAATGAAATTAAAAACACAGGCTCAGTGTAATGAACCCCCACAGAGCTCATGCTCATGATCCAGGTGAGCTACAGACATGCAAAATAAATAGAGCCAAACCTAAGTAGCAAATAAATGACACAGACAGAAAACACCATCAAGATTCATGCATGACAGAGTATCTATTGGCATTAGTTGGTGTCATTATATGCCTTTAACAGGAAGCAGAGGTAGGCCAAGATGGCTGACACTGAGGGAAGAATGCCTCAGGAAAGGGGAGCACCCCTAAAGTCACAGAGTCAGGAAAATGACAAAATGATGTCATGTGGAAGGCAGGCAAGGATGATCATCCCTGAGATGAGAACCCTCACATGGGGACAATTATTTGCCATTGTGTTCTAATGGATAATGAAAACGTGTGTTACCTACCTTCTTAAAGCTCCCAGCCATTCCACCTTTTCATGGCTTAAACTTTTTCTCCTTTCTAGGCACCACACATTCATGCCTCTCAGAATTCACTTCTCAAACTCTTACTAAAACAAAGCTGCCTCATGAACTGATAAAGCTGTTACTGGTGCAGTGCAATGACAATATGCCCAGCAATGTTCTGATAGATTGTCCTTCCAGGCTAATCCAGGTCTATGAACAACAGATCAGAGTGGCTGTAAGGAAACCAAACTGATAGTCAGAAGCAGTCCCTGCAAATCTCGTGTCTTTTCTTGTAAGAAATCTCACCAAAGAAAAGTTACACAGGGAATTCTCACAACTACGTGTCCCAGCCAGGTGTGTATTGGAATGAGAACGGTAGCTACCAGCAACAATTGCCCTCTCAAGAAGACCACTTAGCTTCTTTTACTTTCTGTTATCTCATAATAATGAAATGAGAACATCACTTTCTGAGGAGAGTCCAAGGAAGATGGATTATTTAGACAACAAACCTAAAAAGTAGCAGAGCACATGGCAGGCTCTCTAGAAGGAGGACCCTTACAAGATGTTATTTGCAAAATGGTCAGTATACACATGCACACACATGCACACATATGCACACACAGGCATGCACACAATGCACACACCAATAGACTAAGGGTCTTTTCATTCAATAAATCTAAACTTTTACATTGTAACCACAGAATACACAAGCTTTACCTTTATACTAGGTACAAATCAGAATCTCTATAGGCGAACATGGATGACAGAGATTTATAATCATATAACCCATTTTGTTGATACAATGAAATAATAAACCTTTCAAAATCCCATTGCAGCACCTGGGCTTGACAACCTCACCCCTACCTAGGTCCATGTGCCCATGTTCCTAATACGTATATTAAGCCATATGCAAGTAAGCTTTCTTGCTTATTGTCTCTTGGATGGATCATTGTGATCACCTGATCCCAGGTATGTGTGGAAAACACAGCAACTTATAGAAGTGATGCTAACCATTAATGGTGAGTATCCTTAAGCTTTGATAATTTAATGTCATAATAAAACAGAGGTACATTGGAACAAAATTGAATTCATCTTCCAATGAGAATACAAAATTACTCCCAGACTTTACAAAAATCCCTGGAATCATTTTGGGTACAGATTGTCACTAAGTTGCCCAGGCTGGATTCTAACTTTGGATCCTCCTGCCACAGTTTCCTAAGTAGCTTGGGTTACAGATATCCACAACTGCACCCGGATTCAGCATTAGCTATTAGTTAATAATTTTTATTTTTCTAGTTCCAGTATACATACTTCCTAAGAAATTGTACTAAACTGAACACTAGAATAGTTACCAGAGATTGGCTTTTTCTCTACATACATATGTTCTATTCAAATTCTTGTGTCATGATTCTATTACTCCCTTTTTATAATAATAAGTAAACAACACAGCATAAAATTATTAGTTTCACAACCTAGATTACAAGCGTTCAGAGCAATAAAAGAAAAAACAACATGAAATATCCACATAAAATATGCAGTATGATTTGAAACACAAGGAGGCATTTGGTTATCTTGTCAATTTTGAGATACTTTACTCTCTCCCAGAAATGATGCTTGCTAGCTATTTTATTGATGTTTCCACTTGTGTACTACTGTACCATGTATAGAAAATATTGAAGCCATTATCAAAAATACTCTACATGTCATAAAATTTTTATGACCTACTTAAATCCCAGAAAAGAATGCCAATAAATGCTGATTAAATGCTTGCCAACAGTAGAGCATGCTATCAGCAGACTTTCCAGAACAAATTAAGTGGAATATATCTGTGTTTAATTCCGTATTTTAAATCTAAATGTTACCTCCCAAAAAGGAAGTTAGCTCTGGCCACTTCTACACCACAATCCTAACCAGATAAGGAAATGCT